ACCAGGAAAGCGCACGGGGCAGGACATGGACCAGCAGAGCACACGGGGCAGGACGTGGATCAGCAGAGCTGATCGGGGTGCAGACACAGGCCACTGTGCTGGTCAGACCTCATGACTGGCTGCTGGGGAGTTCACGGCCCAGGCCCCGCCCAAACGTGGCTGGAAGGTGCTCAGTGTCTGAGCACTGCTGGGGCTCAGCAGCATGAGCCGGAGGCACCAGCTGCCCCGAGTAACTCCCTAGTCTCGGTCCCTCTCCATCCAGCCTCACACCAGACCGCTGCCCTGGGGCCAGGCTCATGCCACCCAGTAACTGCCCACCTCAGAACGGCGGCACCGAGCAGCTCAACCGCTGGGACTAAATGAGCACTGGGACACAGACATGTGGCTCACGTCCCCAGGGCAGCACGCTCGGAAAAAGGAAAAAGGCATGAAAGAAAGGGCACCTGGGAGGGCAAGGACAGCGAGAGACTGGGAACAGGGCTACCAAGCAAGGGACAGTGAGGGACCGGGACAGGGCCACCAAGCAAGGAGGGACAGTGAGGGACTGGGACAGGGCCACAGGCAAGGACAGCGAGGGACCGGGACAGGGCCACAGGCAAGGACAGCGAGGGACCGGGACAGGGCCACAGGCAAGGTGGAGGCACACATGTCCCCAGGGTGGTGGGACAGGGCCACAGGCAAGGACAGCGAGGGACCGGGACAGGGCCACAGGCAAGGACAGCGAGGGACCGGGATAGGGCCACAGGCAAGGTGGAGGCACACATGTCCCCAGGGTGGGCTGAGTGCAGGTGCAGCCCAGGCTCGAGGCTTCCTAGAATGGTGCTGGGGAGCCGCATAGCCAGTTAAGGGAGATGGGTCCACATGCCACTCAGGGTTCAAATCCCACCACTGGTCACTTGCAAAGCAAGCCAGGCACACACACACGTGCATGCCCCCACCCTTACAGGAGGGGAAACAGAGCAAGGCCCTTTGTGACCACACCCCTTGGGACCAGCACACCTTGACACTCTGAGATCCAGCGATAACCAAGCCAGTGTGGTCTGGCCCACTCACCATGCCACTCAGGCAGCAGAGACCCTGAGAAAGCACATTCCCTAAGAGGGCAGGGGCAGACGGAGACCTGGGCCCCTCTGCAGGGCACTCCCACATGGAAGCTCCCCCCACCGCCGTCTCTGTCTCTAGGGAGCACCCCCCTTGAGCAGCTGAAGAAAAGCTAGAAAGGCAGGAAGGAGGTGATCAGGTGCCAAGGTGGCAGCTCAGGCCAGGTAGCAAAGGGTTATAAGAGCGACCGTGTGAAAAGGGTGAAAACAAGACCAAAAAAAGACAGAGACAAGGCGCCACGAGGAGGCAGCACCCACTGAACTCCGTCCTGTCCATCAGATTACGAAGCTGTGGTCTCCGAGCGGCCTGCAGGGCCCGCACAGCCTCTGCGCTCTCCGAGTGAGCGGCCTACGGGGTCCGCACAGCCTTTGTCAGCCAGCGCCCCCGTGCCAGAGCGCCGAGCTGGACACAGAGAAGGCAGGAAGCAAAGGTCCTGGCTGAGGGTGTAAAGGAAGGGTTAGGGCAGGGACAGCCCACCCCAGAGGGGACAGCCCACCCCTGCCTTCGGACCCAGAGCAATGGGAGATGCGCTGGAGTCGGAGGCTGGCGGCGCCTGCCTGGGCAAGGGAAGGGTCCTCCTCGGGGTAGGGGAGGCATGTGGGGTCTTGGGAGGAAACGGGTGACACAGTCACCACCAAGTGGAATGGAGTCAGAACGGAACATGTGACAGGACAGCCAGGAACAAGGGGACAGGTACACGCTTCCCGCAAGGTCCCTGCCGAGCCAGTGCACATACCTGGGCTGGGCCTGGCCCACGGCAGGTCCACGGCAGGCAGGTCCTACAGCTCCTGCGCCGCCTGCACCAGAGACACCGCGAGCACGCGGACAGCCTGGTAGGCGGCCGTGTCGGACAGCTCCCTCGTGGCGTTGAATATCTGCAAGGAAAGGAGATGCCACTCACCCCGGGGCCTTGGTGACTGGGACCAGCACACCTTGACACTCTGAGATCCCGCGATACCCAAGCCAGTGTGGTCTGGCCCACTCACCATGCCACTCAGGCAGCAGAGACCCTGAGAAAGCACATTCCCTAAGAGGGCAGGGGCAGACGGAGACCTGGGCCCCTCTGCAGGGCACTCCCACATGGAAGGTTCCGGGTTCAAGCCCAGACACCACCATGGTGTGCCAGGGACACGTGTGCCCAGATCCAAGCTGGCTGAAGGCTGGGGACCGGCTGCCATGGACAGACCCTGCTGAGGGGCTCTCTCTGTGCCTGTCTCCTCCTCTCTGCTCACTCATGAAACAAGCAGCTGTCTAGAATAAGGGGCTGGGAGACAGCTCAGCTGAGAAGGCTGTCGACAGGCACCAGTGACGTCCTGCGACCACAGCTCCCACTCCTTTCCTTCTTTAAAAGGGAGCCTACAGAGGCTGGCAGGTGGTACAGAGGCCGGGGTGCTGGACTCCCGCATGGCCGACCACAGTTCAAGTTCCGAACCTGGCAGCTTGCTTTATCTCTCTCTCATCAAATTAAAATAATAATAACAGTAGTAGTAAGTATATACATATATAAAAAGACACCTCGGTGGAGTAAAATGGCAGAGCACGTGGCTGAGTGTGGCCACACGTCACCAGGAGCCACGTGCAGGCAGCTCGTGGAGAGGAGGCTGGGGGAACACTGGAGCTGCTCGAAACCACCTGTGTTCCCATCTCGGTCCTGGAGTCACCCAAGGAAAGCCCAGAAGCAAAAGTGAGATTCAGGGTAACAGCTCAAAAAAGTCCCAAAGAAGGGAACCAGCAGTTAGCGTAATGGCTATGTCGCTGGACTCCCACGTAGTCGACCGCAGTTCGTGTCCCGGACCCGGTGGCTTAAAACTCACACTGGGCGCGTGTGCGTGTGTGCCCAAGAGCCCGAGAGGAGAATGGAGGAGAAGGGATTGCGGCGTGACCATCCCCCCTGGGGGGTGATTTCTCGCTTTCTGTCTCTATGTCTCTCTCTGTCTGTCTGGCGAGCGCACGCGCCCTACAGTGAAAATCTCTCCAAAAAAAAGGCCCAAAGAACAAGACAAAGAAAGGCCTGTCCAAGGGTGGCCCCATTCCCAGGTCACTTCATTTCTTTTTAAGAATTACTTATTTAATTTTATTACTTATTATTATTGTTGTTGTTGTTTTAATTTGACCAGAGAGAGACAGAGAGGGAAAGTGAGAAAGCAAACGGCCAGGTCCGGGACTTGAACTGCAGTCGGCCATGTGGGGGTCCGCACCTTCACTACCACACCACCTGCCAGACCCTCAGGTCTCTTTATACACACAGAGGGGGGCAGGGGGGCAGCGTCTGCCCAGGATGTGCCTGCAGCGCCAGCTCCCCGCCCCACCTCATGAGCCCTTCCCAGCTAGACACTTGCTGCTTCCTTTCAGTCCTGACTTCCAGCGTGTGCTCCTTTGATTACTATTCTTATTATTTCTCCCTTTCCTTTTCTTTTACTTAACTTTATTTATCTATTTTTAATTTGACCAGAAGGACAGAGTGAGAGACACAGAGAGACAGAGAGAGGGAAGTAAGAAAGCAAACCACCAGGTCCGGGACTCGAACCACAACTGGCCATGTTGGGAGTCCTGTGCTGTTAGCCACCACACCACCTGCCTGCCCCATGTGTCCCTTTTATCTGTCTTGCTCTTGTGTGTGCGTGTCTCCTCTCCCATCCTATCTTCTGGCCTAGCCCAGCTTCTGGCAGAACAAAGGCCACCAGGGTGCAGGCAGCCAGCGGCCAGCCGCGCCCTGAGGCAGCACGCTGACTGAGAGGGCAGCAGCCCCGCCTCCCTCTCGCCCACCAGGAGCGCAGAGCTGGTCCTGCAGCTGCAGCAGGAAACGGCCACCAGGGCGCCCCAGACCACCTCTCTGAGATGCACAGGGCCCTGGCCTCCTGGAGGCTCTGTCGGCAGGGGAAGCAGCCTGCAGTGGTGCTCTGGCTTGTCCTCCCACGGTGACAGACAGGGCTCAGAGAACTTCCGGAAGCCATCCGGCCTGTTCACGCACGGACCCCCGCGCTCCTGTGAGCAAACACTGGTGAGGGTGAGCAGGCGAGAGCACTCAGCCCAGCAGGCAGTCAGCGCTGGGGAGCACCACCCTAGATGCAGCTCTGCGCTGAGCACGGGACGCAGCGCCGCTCCCATGGAAACGGGGCGAAGCTGCTGGCTCTCCCAGCCCACGCTGGCTTCCTAGCACCAGCACCACGGAGCGAGCAGCAGGCCTGGCAGGGCAATGCCAGCTCAGCTCGCTGGAAGGCAGAGGGAGAACCACTACCTGCCCGTCTGGTCGTGCCGTGCGGAGGGCAGTGCGGGGCCCATCGCCCCAGCACCCAGAGCTGGGTCCAAAACACTGGCTGAAAACCCTCCCACTGCTGCTTGATTTCCAGCCACACTTTCCAGCACAGGAAGTGGTGACAGGCCAGGAGGGGTGGCCCGGCTCCACCTGAGGACACCACTCCTAAGCAGAGTCCCTCCAGCTTCCACTTTTTGATGGAAGCATTTCCTCAGGGAAATTGGCAGCAAACTCGGGAATAAAGAGATTTCGGGAAGATTTTCATTTAAATGACACTTGGTTTCCCCACTGATGAGAGGGAAGCCTTGCTCCATCTGCTGAGCTCAGGCTTCATCTCGTCAAACACCTCTGCGTGATTACTCTCCCAGCACGTATGCAAATGAGGATGCAAATGAGCGTGCGCTGGAGTCATTACCGTGAGGCTGCACGCAGGGCCGCTCCCCGGGGACCATGCCCCACCACGCAGCTGCTCCCCGTGTTCATTTTGTGACCTTCAGACCACATCCTCGAATTAATGAAGGCACGCCAAGAACCTATTTCCTCAGAGAGTCTTGGCATGGGGCCTGCACAGGGGACCAAAGCATGTGTGTGCGCACATGTGTGCACATCTGTGCACACAGGCATGCCAGAGTCAGGGAAACTTCAGTCACTCACCAGAGAAGAGCACCCGGAGAGCCTGTGAGTTACAGCACCTCGGCATGGCCATGACCGTCCGAGTGGCAGTGGTGAGCGCGGAGGTGGACAGTAAGCAGCCACCCCTACTCCCAGGGACCTTCTACTGCGGAGGGCCCCAGCCTTCCAGTCTGGACTGTAATCCCTCTGCTTGTGAAGAGTGGAGGAGAGCCCAGGCAGAGACGGGCTTCCTGTCCAATCCTGGCCGTCGCTCCCTAAGCCTAGCCATGATAGCCAAGTCTCAAGCCCTGCCCTGCCCTGCCCTGCCCTGGGAGGCAACAGAAGAACAGGAGACATTTCTCCATTTATAGCATCTTGCTGTGTTATAAATAACGCTGTGTGAAATTCTCCCTCACCCTAACAAGATGGGTGCACAATCTGCCATCCCTTCATTTGACCATGAGGAGCGATGGCTGCGGTGGGAGTCTCACCTTGGAAAGTCACAGGGTGTGGGGGTGGGGGAGGCCAGATGCTGCTCAAAGCTCGGGAGGAGATGGGCAACAGGGATCAAGAGGCAGCGAGACAGACCATCTCACCGATCAGGAGGAAGGCTCTACAGACTGCTGAGAGACTAGGAGCCGGCATGCAAAACCCTTGCAAATTAAGTTAATGACTTAAGGAATTAAAGATGGACACTTGGATGTTTCAGACAGAACTGCTCCCTCTCCCCTGCAGCCCTGGTTTAAAAAAAGGGGCTTAAAGTGAATTCCAGGCAG